TACACTCTCTCATGCTTCCGAATATTATTTAGGCTACGCGAGACATTGGCGTATCAATATTTGGCGCTATATCAATATTTGTACACTTATTGCATTTGTATACGAATAGCTTGTTTAGTTACGAATGTTGGTCCACGTAATAACGCAATTCACGATACTTTCTCTAACGTACACAGAGTATCATTAAAAAAATCATTTCTCCGGTTGAAACTTTATCTTCGTGTTTTGGTCTTCTGCGTTGTCGTTCGCGTGCATGAATCGTGCATTCTGTATTCTGCACATATATAATTCAATTAATAATATAATGACAAAGACTGATTTAATAAATAGCGTATCGTCCACGTGAATTGTTAATGAAAATTGCTTTCTGACCATCAGTCAGTTCTCGAAAACGAATGTGCTCGTGACGAAAGACTGAGCAGTCTGCAAGTGCACTCGAGATCAGTGATATAGGTCTGACACTGGTCAGACATGCAGAGCAGTCGCGTAGCCTATAGCACGCGTCCAGCTGATTCTATCAGGCGAACAATGTGAATTTTCCGGTGAATTTGATCGTAACAATTTTCAAAATGACATTGACAGTTTTCGTGCAATGAAGCACCTACCAACTTCTCGAAAACTTGTCGCGTAAACATAAAGAAAATTTTCGAAGATTTTATTTGCAAGTTTAGTTCCGTTCCGTTAATATGAACGAATGATACTCGTCGGGTTCAAAGCTGATTTCATTTATGCCGGAGATGCGGGTGTCTCTGAAACTCGTACGGTTTCAGGGATTTTAGATTTCGTTCTCTACAAAATTTTCCCAAAGAAATAGAGAAAGAGAGAGAGAATACGTTTTCGAAAAAACGAACGTATGTGAAAACGCGTGCGCCGTGTTTGAAATGTTTCCAATGTTTAAAAACATAGTGTTTGCATTTTTTAACGAACTGCGCGTTTTCTTTTTTCTTCTTCTTCTTCTTCTTCTTCTTTTTGCGGAAGAAACGTAAGGAAACGATCGTTTTCGACCGAACTAGCGGGCATTATACTGTCTGTCCATCCGCGTCCATCTCTTCCTCTCGTTTCGAAGCAACTTCTTTCTAATTTATATTCGCCGCCACCATAGGAATCCCGGAAGCGAGTCGACCAAAAGGATAATTAATTAAAAGCAGAGATCAGACTTTTAAATATGCGATCGTAGTCCAGGCCCTTGGCTCCGGATTACGCTGAAAGCGTCGGTTAAGAATTAAGTCGCAATTGCTGCATCCCTTGTCGAAACTTGGCAGAGGAGGAAGAAAGTTCCTGTTGAAACTCGAGGCCGGGGAAATTTGTTCAGGCGGGGCATATAATGTGCACTCCTCTATCTGCTTAAATCTTTTTCCTTCCCCTCTCTTCTCTGCTCTGTTTCGTTCAACGCTGGACTGGCCCTGAACTTATTCATAAGTATCTTAGTTTTTAACCGTGCGATTGCTACGCGCGGCAACGTTTCCTTTTTTTCTTTCTTTTTCATCGACGAAAGAAAATGCGAACTAACGAGGCGTCGTCTGCTCGTCCTGGGCCAATATTTACCATGGGTGCGTCGGGACGCCCGCACTTCTCCGTCCATTAACTTAATTCGATCTTACTTTACACCGTTGACGACTCTGTGTACCGAGAAACAAGCCACCGTCGAGAGAGGGCTACTTTCGCCGATTAACCCCTTAAGTAGTCGCTAGCCGTCTTAAGTCTGAGAACGCTAACACCAGGTGATGTACACCAATATTGATATTGTTTATCGTTTCATCTACCTAAACTAAACGCCCTCGGTTTGCTTCCGCTTCGTCCGGAAATATCGTCTCGCGAAACTATCGCTCGTGAAGTATTTGTCGGTTGAAATACGAAAAAAAGAAGAAAAATCTAGAAAAAAGGATCTTTCAGAAGTAGAAAGAAGGAAAGCGTTTTATAAACCTTCAACATTCTCACAGAGTTGTCGCCAAAAAGGTAAAGTTCCCCTGTCTTTGAAAAGGAATTAATGGGAAAGAATTCTAGAATAGATAAAATATTCCACATAGACGGAAGAAGTTGCACAAGTGGAGATGATTCACGAGTACCGTGTCTAAGGGGGAGGCGTCAAGAAATAATTAACGGGATTTCATAGCGACGACAGTAGCGGCGAAGTTGGAAGGACAATATCTAATCAGCAGACGGGTGCACGTAATTAAGCACTAACCGAGCTCCGGTAAACGCAA